TATCAGCCGTACTGTCTAACGATACGGAATACCGGATATACCGGAAAATACCGTTGGTAGTACGGTATCGTCCGGGCTCTAGTTTTAACTATATTTATATACATACATATTTACATAGATGAAGTTTTTTCTCAAAAAAGTTTTACAAATCGAAAAAAAAATTTAAAATTTAACTTAAAATGACTTTCAAAAATTAAAGAGCACTTTTTAAATGAATATGTACATATGAAGTGTTTTCAATGTTTTCAAAGTTAAAATTTAAAAGTCAAAGCTCTTAGAAAATCCAGATAGTATACGGCATAAATAGGTACTAAAATAACGACATAGTGTATAAGTTAAGTACCGGTATTCTTTAGCCATAACTGCCCTAAAAATATCCATCTCCATCAGGAGAAAGAGAAAAACAGCCTCCCTCTAGGAGAGGAATATCTCAGATATCCTATAGATATCGAATTCAGAGAATTCAGGATTCAAAAAATTCCCCCTTTTTGTCGCCGAAAGTTTTTGACCTTTACTCTACTAAGGATAAATTTTCTAATAACTCAAAAAGTCTTATTTTCTTGTGAATTATTATACCGAATATAGATATAAAAATGTCTACTACACAAGATTTATACATGTGAACACTTTAAGACTTGACCGAGAGACCGAAATCGAAAACTAAAAGTTTTGGACCTTTCTAGTATCGAGCTTTGACTGTAATTCACATTTGATATGGAAGGGGGCGGGGGAGTAAATTAGACTTTAAATCCTTAAAATCGTAGAGTGGGTAAAGTTAAATAAAATCATAAAATCCAAAGATTTCAAGGTATATACATTTTAGGTACTGTCCTGAAACAAGGGCGATTTGGTGGTAGATCGCTATCGTTTTTGTTTCCAATTGGAGTCCATTTTCATCTCCAATAAATTATTCTTCATTTTTATGACCGAGTAATGGTTCTTCTAGGTCACTTTCCTCATTCTTTTTTGCAAAATTGTTGAAAATATTTGAAATATTTGGTATTATGTTCCAAATATACTTTTTCTCAACAGCTTTTTCTTTGTTCTCATTCAAAGGTTTAATATCAAATTTCTTTAAAGTTTCGTTTAACTTATTGCAAGCTTCTTCCAAAAATTTAGTAATTATCTTATTATTTCCAAATTTTTCCTTTTCTCCTAGACAGATATCCAAAATTTCCTTAAATTCAAGTTCCTTCAACTTTTCAAAGTTAGCTTTGAGGTCCTATAAAAAATTAAATAAATGAAAGATAATATATTATGTAGGCTCTGGATAAGGCTCAGGGAATTAACTTCGGGCCAAATTATCTCGGTCAATCTCTAATTAGGGTACACCCCAACTTACCGCGAGCCCAACTCGTCGCAGAGCTATAACTTCGTTCAGAATTGTCGAATCCGGGGCACCCTGGTATAGTTCGATTCAGCTCGTCGAGACGCATCGAATCATACAAAGGCGTACCGGATTCGGCAATTCTGAACGAAGTTATAGCTCTGCGGTAAGTTGGGCTCGCGGTAAGTTGGCCTGCTCCCCTCTAATTAAAAGTATAACCATGTAATGATCAATCATTTCTGTTGTTTCAAATTTATTTTGAACATATTTAATAATCTCAAGCGTTGGATTGTTCAATTTTATTTTTGCCAAAACTTTCTCAATTTGATCTTTTCTATTCACCTCGAAATTGAATATTAATAAAGGAAGCAATTTTTTATTTAATCCGTTCAATTGCTCAATTTCTGTTAAAATAATTATTTAGATATTTTAATAAAAATCTACTATTATCAGCACGAGACGATAATCTTGCAAGATTTTTTTTAAGAGTACTGATCTCGAATCTTTACCTAAACTTTTTTTCGAGATTTTTCTTCAAATCAATTGGAATTTTTTCCAAAATCCCCCCAAAAATGGCAATCCTATTACCAACGTTTAATAAAGTTTTGGATAATTCTAGTAAAAATACTAGAATAATATTAAATACATATGTATGTCAGGAATAGCGCCGAAAGAAAATCAAATTCTCGATTTTCGGAAATCGTGAATCGGGTCGTCGCGATCCCCGACATATGTACAACTTACTTTTTTTTGTTATATTCCAATAATATAACAATAATTTGAACCAAATAGATTTTACCAAATATCCAAAATTATTAAATATTTTATTCCAAGGTTTAAAAAATACAAAGTTAATATTAAAGGGGAATTTAAAAAGGAAGAGTGAAGAAGTTAAAAATAAAGGGAATATAAATCAGCTTAAATAGGGCTAAAAATGATACATTTTTTAGAGGGAAAAGATAAAAATTGAAAAGATGATTGGGCGAAAATATGTGAACATAAATATTTTAAAAATATAAAAACAAAATGATTAATAGAAAAGTTTAAAAATAAATATTAAATATCTTTATAAAAGTTGCGTTTCGGCGCAACACTCCGCGCAGAAAAAATGTTGAATAATTTGAAGAGTAAAAAACGTGTTAGGCAGGGAAGGAAGCAGTAGCCGATAAGGACAAAACAAAACAACGCTAATAATAAAATTAGGAGATAGCGTGGAAAAAATAAAAATTTAAGTAGATGCGTTAAATCAATGTCCATTAAGCTTTGCATTTTATTGCTATGTTTCTGTGCCCATTTTGTTTCGATTGTTTCTTCTGGGTGATTTAATATTCCTTTAAGTTTAAATTTTGAGTATGAAGAACCACAAAAAATTTCGCATGTTTCGTCAATTTGTGAGTGGCTTAAATGTACTGAAAGATTTCTAGTTTCTCCTTTAGGCACACAGGTCGTAAATGTAGTAAGAGAAGGACAAACAATATTTCCTAAGGAGTTTCCAAAATCAGTTTTACAAGTTAGCTCTAGCTTTGCGCCGCGATTACATTTGTAGCATCCGATTAATTTAACATTTGTTACTTTACATTTATTTGCGAGAATTTCTGTTTTGAGTGTTAATCCTTTAATTTGTGTTTGAATTTGAGCGGCGGAAAAATCAGGCAAGACTTTAATTGTGCCGTGGTCCACGTCAAGTAGTATGCCGTTATGCTCAAATGGCAATGTTAAATCTCTTTTAAAAAGTTGTCTCGTTTCTAACAATTCATAACACAGACAAGCTACATTATGATCGGCCGAATTACAGTCACACGATAAGGGATCTAATTTGCATTCATTAAATTTAATGGCTGCCGCTTTTGAAGAACATTTAAAACTTCTCAATTTATCTTCACTTTCCGATTCAAGAATTGCAACTCTACTTTCATCCGACACGAAAAGTTGATTGAGTATAGGAAGAGGAGCAACTGTCATGCTTGTGGCGGTTATTCGCAGATCGTTCCATTCTGTCGTAAATCCGGGTTTTAGTGAAATTAATTTTTCCTGTTTATCATTTTGGGTTTCAATTATAATTTTTACATCTAATTCAAGATCCCATTTCGGACATCTAAAAATTTCAAGTATTTTATGGTCATTCGTTGGTACGGCAGAAAAGCGATAAAATAAACAGGCAGGGTCGACATAAAAACAACCATTTGCCCAACCGCCTTCAGTTTCCATACACCTTGTGATACCTGGGAATTTTTGATTTTCCATGTTTAATTCAATAATCGTATCATTCATTTTAATGGAACTACATTTTTGATTAATACAACTCCCTGTATGGGCACACCTCCACCCCGAAATTACTTGTATATCGTAGGAGCGTGAAAAGTATTTTATTGTTTTAACACAGGATGCTTTTAAGCGATGTAAAATAAATTTCATGGATCCTACAAAATTGTCTTGGTAATCTTGTAATTTTATGTCGATTTCTTGGTCCGTTGGATTAAAACTTATTTCGAGAGTTTTTTCAAAGAGACATTTCCTAACCCCTGTTGTGTCTAGTATACATTTTTCTTCATCGGCTGTGATAGTTGTAAGACACACAGCTCTTTGTAGTGAGATAACAAAAATAATTATTGCAATCGTAACTTTCATTGGTAATCGATTTTTTCTATTATATTTTAGAATTTTAATTTTTTCTACTATTTTTTCCTTATTCTCTGTTTTTGTCTTTTTACAACATTTTATGAGAAATCTAATTAAGGACCATTTTCTTTTTAATATCCAAATAATAACAGAAATTAGTGCGATTATAATTTTACCAACAAAGTAAATTATATTTGAAAATAAATACACTGCAAGGGCTACTAAAACCATGGCGAGTTCGGGGTTGCATCTAGGATTGGTTAATCGTTCAATGCATAAATTACATTTTATTAGTCCACACATATTTAATGGTTGGCATTTAATCCCCTTTTCCTTTATATTTTGACCGTTATTAAAGAATTTTATTGTTGCTTCAAACCCATTTATTAAATCTTCCTTTGGTAATGTAATTTCTTGTGTAGTGTCGGGAAAGGGTATATAAATGCATTTTTTCAAACAAATTTCTATTCCGCTTATTTCTTTATTTATTTTAATAAAAATTCCTTCCTTGGCGCACTCTATCTCGCATTCCTTACATCCTTTTTCATTTTCATTTTTAAAATCATATACTCTTTTTGAAATTTCACCCCATGCTTTAATAACGACTTTACCATGATTTGAAACAAAATATGCCACTTCATTTTTAGAATAAAAACAAAATTTTTTCCCATTTTCAGAACATGCGTGTTTAGAACAGTATAGGGGTGATCCGGTTGTTTCCCCAACCCCAAAGCATATAAACTCATCATTTAAATTTTCTTTCATTTCTATTTTTAATTCATTGACTAGATGTTTCGTACCATCATATAACTCGATTTGTTTAAATTTTTTAATTTCAGAAAAGTTTTTACAATTTTCTTTATACTCAAATGAACATATTTTTGGCCTATTGTGTTCTATAATATTTTTTACATTTGGGTCATTGACTGTTGATCTTTTTATCTCTAATCCTTTATAAAACGAACATTCTATTGCCCAGTCGGGACAGACACACGCTGGGTTGCAATTTCCTTTTCCACACTCGTTTCTTTTCCAACAAAAAGTGCCGCCCGCACGCTTGTGTATAGAAAAACCGTTAACAATACATTCGTCGTCAATTTGTATTCTTTTTGTTTCCTCGTGTAATTTACACGGACTTGCAGCAAGGTTTAGACACAGAGAGAAAAAGATCAGTATTGTGAGTGTAATAGAGGCAGAAAGTGTATTAGGTTTAAGGATTGCTGCACCTTTATTTTTGTTTTTATTATTCCCAATCGATTTATTTTTAACAAATTTTTGTCCCTTTTTAGTAACGTCATCGTCCAAAATATCTTTTGAATAAAAATCCGCTCTCATTCGTTTAAAGTCATTATTTAACCTTTCATTTTGTGTTTTTAATGTTTGAATTTCTTCATTGCGGGTTTTTTCCAGCTCGGTTATTTTTTCATTTACATTATTTAAAATTAATTTTGTTTCTTTTATTTCATTTTGCAAGTGTGAGATTTCTACCTTATTATTATTAATCAAATTTTCATTCGCTTTATTATCGATTTTAAGTTTAGAAATTTCATCTTTACTAATTTTTATTTCCCTTCTCAAGATTTTATTTTCATCTTCTAAAGTTTTATATTTATAATCATAAGATTTATCTCTTGGTTGCCTATCCTGTTTTTTAAATTTTTTATCGAATGATTTTTCCCCGCGTTGCCAATCATGACTTGAACCTGTTTGAAAATCACAATCGTAATCCATATGCGGGCCCCCACAAAATTTACAAGGTCTCCACATTATTGGCTCATCCTCAAAATACATACAAATTTTAGCACTCTCCATTCTATTATTTTCATTGTTGATCAGAAAATTTATGTCTGCATTATCTGTCTCATCATAATTTATTCTCTTTCTTTCTCTAAGGGCCATTGGATGGGAATTTGGCTTACTCCAACGCCAGTAAGCCAAATTTAGGTTAGTAGGAGGAAGATTCCAATTTTTAGGCAATAGAAAACGCATTAAGTCGCGTTGATTTTCTTTCAATCCTATTTGATGAAAAGCAGACTTGACATCCGCTGAGGTTAAAATTGGAAATGTTCTAATTCGTATTAGGAGTCCGCACAAATCCGGAAGCAAGACAGGACCTCTATATATTATATCATTTAAACTTATTTTTTCTTCCGCTGTTTTACAATTAGCCGCAAAAACGATTCGCATTTTTTTCTTTTGTGGGTGATAAACATAGTGCCAGGGAATGTAATGACATAAATTAGAGTCATTTCTTTCGCAATTCTCTATTTGATTATTTTTTGCTTGTTCTAAAAAACTTTCTTTCATTTTTTCCAATACGCCTTCTTTGTTTCCTTTTGCCCAAGAACTTTGTAATCGTTTAATGCAAGGCGCGAAATTACTTGATATATTTATTTTCTTTTCTTTAAATGGGAATTCTATTTCGTATCTTCCTTCGGGTGTTCGGGTTACCGATTTTTTAAATAATTCTAAAGCGTTTTTATCATCCTCATTTAATGGGTTATCGGTAATACCAAATGATTCTAGCTCCCAAAATTTTTCTACATTTTCCATTGAAAAGATTTTTGATTCATTTACGTTTAAACTAATTACGCCTCTACCCGAAAGAACTTTTCCTAGTTTAGTTTGTATTACAGAAAATCCGTTTTGAAGTCTTTCATATCCCATTATTTTATTGTAAACACTTGTACCAATCAATATTTCTGGCGTAACTTCTTCTACAAATTCATAAGGAATTCTATTTTCATTTAATTTATCTATGCCTATTTTTTCAACAAAAATTGTTTTTAATTTTTCAACAAAATTTTCATCGACTCCTCTTGCTCGGACCTTTATTGATTCATTATTTATACACTTTATTTCAAAATCAAATATAGGCATTCTTCTAACCATACTTTGACCAAAGACACCAGTTGCTTTGAAATTATTTATTGCTATGGGCTCTAATTTTAATTTTTCGGCTAGAGAGGTTTTTATTAAACAAATTTCGGCACCGGAATCTAAAAATACGTGAGCATTTTGCATTAAAATTGGAATTTTTGGGTTTACTATTTTTGCTTGAGTTACTTGAAGAAAGGTTGGAAAAATTGAATTTTGCGAATTTTTTGTAAAATAATTTATTAAAATATCATTAGAATCTTTTAAATTATCATCATCTTGAATTTCTAAACAAATATTTGAATTTTTATTATTTTGATTATTTTTAATTCCAATTCTTTTTTCTTTAATTTCTTTAACTTCATTTTTTCTCTTCAACGGGCTCTCGGTGTGCGGCTTCGTCCTACAAAATGCAGTATTATGACTGCCTTTACAGTGAAAACACAAATTTAACTTTAAACATTTTTCGGACCTATGATTATTTTTTAGACATTTAAAGCATAACTTAAGTTCTTTTGCTCTTTCTAGTCTCTTTTCAGGATTTATATATTTAGAGCAATTATTTTCCCAGTGATTTTCTTCACAAAATCTACAAGTATGTACAAATTTTTTCTCAGTTACAGCGAACATTCCTGTTCCTTTATTTCCAAAATTATTTCTAATATTATTATAATTCATTTGAAATTTTCTTCCCTTATTATTATTTTGAAAATTATTATTATATTTTAAATTTTGCCGAAAATTGGGAAGATTGTCTGTTTTTTCTTGTTCAAAATTTTTATGGGCTCTAAAAACGTCTTCTTCCAATTTTAACGAATTGTCTAAAAATTCGAGCATTTTTTTGACAGACCAATCAAGATTATTTCTTTTTTTCTTATAAATTTCAGTTAAGAGCCATTTCGGCAATTTTGATTCAATTTCTAAAATTAATTGCTCATTATTTGTATATTCCCCCAAATTATTTAATTGATTAATAATCGCTTCGACTTTTCTTAATGTTTGTCGAATTTCGGGTACGTACTTTGACGCCCTAGGAATTCTTCGTAAATTTGCGTGCAAAGCACTTTTTATATTTGATTTATCCCCAAAATTTTTTTCCAAAAGTTCTAAAACAATTTTATAATTTTGTCCCTCTAGGGGATATTGTCTGGCCATTTCTTTAGGCTCTCCATTTAGTGCTCCAAAAAGATATTGCAATTTTCGTTTATCCGAAATTGCTTGTTCATCAACAGCACATTTAAATTCCTCCATAAACGGCCGATACTCCTCTAATTTTCCCGAAAAAGATGGTAAACGAATTTCTGGGAGTCTAATAGTATTCGGCGTTTGGAGAATTGTTTCATTTAGAGTTGCGCGATTTCTTTCGCGTGGGCCTTCAACTCTATTAAGCGTGTCGTAATTTTCATCCAAAATGTCTAAAACGTCACGCGCTTCATCTAAAATAGTCAAAAATCCATGTTGCCCAAGAGCAAATTCTCGATATTGCTCATTTTCATTTTCTCTTGTCTCAATATCCAAATATTTAATGAAATTGGCATAATCCATATCTTTTTTATTTATTTCTTCCATTACCCCAACAATTTTCTTTTTAATGTTTTCAGTTTTATTAATTAATTCATCAATTTTTTTATTTTTAGATTCTTGATTTAATTTATTACTTACGCTGAAATCGATTTGACGAGCGGTGTCCAAATGACGCCCTAAACGATCTCGCAGCATATTGATGCCCGCCTGCAGGACGGCCGCCATATCCTCTTCTAATAAATTGACGACGAGGTCTTACTTGTTGACGTTGCTGAACCTGTTGAACAGGTCGTTGGAATGTTGGTCGAAAAGGTGTTGTCCCAAAAGTTGGAAAAAAGGAAGGTGCCGAATAAATTGTCGGCAATGTAGGCGGATAGTAGGGTGGTCGTTGATTAAAATAAGGAAAAGACGGGTACGGATTATGAAAAACAGGTGGTTGTTGATAGCCTCCTGATGCTTGATCTGAATTTGAATTTACTACCTTTACTATGACCGGAGCAGATTCTTTTTGGGGCTTTGGACGGCTTTGAGACGTTCCTTGATTTCTGTAGTTTTTAGTAAAAAAATTGCGCTGTTGAGCGCTTTGTTGTCGAAATTTATTCTCAATTTTTCTTTCCAAATTAGAATTGTTGGGTGGTGGTCTGGACGAACAAATTGAAACCTTGTCCAGTTTTTCTTGAATATTTTCCAGTTTTGCTAAAAAAAATTTAGCCCAAAAGATTATTTTTTAACTAAAATTATTTTTATCCAAAAAAAATTATTTTTATTGCCCTGATTTTTTATTCGTCGTGGCACCAATTTGTTATATTCCAATAATATAACAATAATTTGAACCAAATAGATTTTACCAAATATCCAAAATTATTAAATATTTTATTCCAAGGTTTAAAAAATACAAAGTTAATATTAAAGGGGAATTTAAAAAGGAAGAGTGAAGAAGTTAAAAATAAAGGGAATATAAATCAGCTTAAATAGGGCTAAAAATGATACATTTTTTAGAGGGAAAAGATAAAAATTGAAAAGATGATTGGGCGAAAATATGTGAACATAAATATTTTAAAAATATAAAAACAAAATGATTAATAGAAAAGTTTAAAAATAAATATTAAATATCTTTATAAAAGTTGCGTTTCGGCGCAACATTTTATCGCTTTCTTTAATAGTAAGGGTAACTTCTTTAACTTCTTCATGCTTTTTTTCTTGCATTGCCGAGTTAACAAAATACGAGGCAAACACAATTAAAATAACTTTAAAAATCAAGAATTGCCACATTTTTTGAGGCAATATTTTCATAATTTTAAATATATTTTTTCTTTACTTTTTTCTAAAATAAATTTTAAATTAATATATTTTTGTTTTTCCCTTAAAGGAAATAATCCCTGAAATTGAATATTATTTAATGCGCCTTTTGTGTTACATATTGTTTTTTGGTAAAGAAATCTTTCGGCTCCCATACAAAATCTCTATTCCTTAAAATCGCTATTCCTTAAAATCTCTACTAATCTAAAAATGCTTAAAATCTCTATTCCTTAAAATAACTATTCCTTAAAATCTCTACTGGGGTAAAAATAATTAAAATCTCTACACCGTGCAAATGGATGGTAGAGTCTCAACAAAAGTGTAAAATATGAACTTTTCATTGGAAAACCCAGACTTGGTAATGGATACGGATATGGATACAATTGATTTAAAAATGGCTGCGGATATCGGAGATATAATACACGACTGCTTCGCTGCGGTCGTGTTCATTTTTCTTGCGGTGATCGTATCGAAGCGGCTGCTGTCGTTCCGCTGGACATGCCTGGGTTCATCCGCAGCGGCAAAAACAATACAAGCAAAATAATAACAAAAGATAAGCCAGAAATAAGAACAACGTTTCCGCACTGAACGTTGGCATCAAAAGGCTTCCGAATGAAAAAATAGACATTTTATCCTATTTTTGGCCGTGTAGAGATTTTAAGGTGTTTTACCCGTGTAGAGATTATGAGGAATAGAGATTTTAAGGAATAGTTATTTTAATAATTTTTAGCCGAGTAGAGATTTTAATGCATTTTAGCTGTGTAGATATTATAAGGCATTTTAGCCCAGTAGAGATTTTAAGGAATAGAGATTTTGAGGGGATACGAATCTTTCTTTTGAGATTTTATTATCGGACAAAGATGTCTTGGCCTGCTCCCGGTTAGAGAATTCCCCCAGACTTTTAAGAATTCAAAGTTTCTCTTTAAATGCCGACTTATTTGAATTTTCTGCTGTTTAAATGGACTTGCCCTAGACATTAAATTGAAATGGGGCGTTATGGGGAGGGGAGGGCTCGTCAAGTAACGTGTGCCCTCCTCATTGGCCAAATTCAATCGAATAGCCAGACAATGAGGGACGCTTATAATATTGCCTTACCTAAACTCGAATTTCAAATTATTAATTATGGATTCTGACAGTCTAGAATTCTCTCTAACTCTTGTGGGAAGCTGAAATTAAAATTAAAATTTTCTAAAATAAAAAAATTTTAACAATTAAAAATTATTTTTGAATAAAAAGTTAAAAAATTTTATATGTAGTAGATTATATATTTTAAATAGTATTGTGTTGCAAATTCTTCCAATTTTTTTTGAATAATGTGGTAGGAACGGAAAGGATTTGGGATTGGGGAATTCCTCCCGTTTAGCTTCGAATAATAAAATTTTTGGATTTTTAAATGGATAAGAAGTCAGAATTTATCCTTTTTACACAAAAAGGATATGACTATTTTGAGTAAAAATATCGAAAATTAGAAAAAAATATTTTTTTTTGAAAGTTAGAATTCTGGTAAAGTTTCTTCTCAAGTTTACTAATTCTACTATGTCTTTCTCTCTTGAAATCTTAAAAAATTCTATGGAGATCTTCAAAAACTTCTATCTAAATTTTATCTATTATTCTTTTTTTCTCTCTCTTAAAGTCTCTACATATAATTCAAAATTTAGAAATTCTCAATTATTGGACATTTGGTAAAAGGGCATTCATATGTCTAATAAATTCAATACACATGATAAGACATGTCAGACTATCACATGTATAATTTCCATATGACATTCATCATCTGATAAATATTTATCGACTTTTTAAGTTTTAAAATTAAAATAAAAATTGTTTTAAAAAATAAATTGTTTTTTTGTTTTCAAAAACTTCCAAAATACCCGGGCTTAGTTCTTATAGAAATCCTCGGTTTTTTATATGTTGGGATCTCGAAATTTGTTAACTTTTTAATAATTTTATATATTTGGAATCTTTATTTGAAAGAGGAATATTAGAGAAAAATTTAAATTATTTACGGGGTAACTGAAGAAAAATAATTCCGATTTTAATATTTAAAAATGTCGGAAGTTTAATTATCGACTTTTAAATCTAAATAATATTTTCAAATATTTTCTCTAAAATTTTAATTTTTTTTCTTTTTTTTTGCACCATTAACGGCTAGGAATTTGTCGGGCGTTTTATATTAATTAAATAATTTTTTCTTTTTCTGATTGCTTTATTATATTTTAACAATTCTTTCTTTTTTTTTATTTATTTTCTAAAAATGGGTTTGGAGGTTTTTAAATGAGAGAGAAAAGTGAGAAAAGTGTTTTAAAAAAATAATTTTTATTTGTGTGGGTACCCGGGAATTTTTTTTAAATTTTTTTTAAAGTATTCGCATTTCTTTTTACCTTTTACTATAAAGAGTGTAATAAATTTATAAATTAATTAATTAATGGGTGAAAATTTAGAAATACATATTTTTATTTAAAAATAAATGATCGAAACTTTATTTTTTTTCTAAATTTCTCTTTTAATTACTTTTTAAATTAATTATTGATTATTTACACACAATTATTTTTTTAATTAAATATTTTTGTTTAAAATTAAAAAGTTTATTTTAGACTAAAAAACATTAGATCAAAACAAAAACCTCGTTCCAACTTACAACCACCCAATTATTATTCACTTTTTAATTCTCTCAAAAATCCCCCCCCCCCCTTTCTCAATTAATTACCCCCTTCTACCTTCCACCATTCAAACACCCAAAATAATTATTTAATTAATTATTTTATAACAATTTTTAATTATATCATAATATTAAAAATACTTTTCAAAAATTTTTAGTCCAAAAATATATATTTTTTTATGTCAACAATAAATACATAAAAACAAGTTTTTATTCTTTGTTTGTTCTTGTTATTGGTTTGTTATTAAATATATTTGTTTTGAATATTTATTTATTTTTATTTTTGTAAAATACTAGAAAAATAAATATTATATTTTAATTTCCTGATCCTCTTTAAATTTTAAAAATATTTATTAACTGACAAGTTTTTGATCCAGAATTTCTGCGCCGAATCCAATACAAAATACTTACAATAAAAATTTATTTATTTATTTTAAATATTTTCTCAGATTAATTTTTTGCGCTCTAATTTTAACCGTTTATTAATCATTGATCATTAAATATTTATTTGATTTTATTGGAATTAGTTTAAATTAAAAAATCGAATATATATTTTTTGTTAATTAATTAAATATTCTTCCAAAAATAACGAACTTTTTTTTTCTTTTTTTCCTCAAATATTTTTAAAAAATACCCTAAAATTTGTAATGCATAAAATAACATCCACTAATAGAATGGCATCAAAACGTTTCGAAAATTTAGAAAAACATTTCAAAAAATGGAAAAGCATTTAATCGTTAGAAATCGAGCCTAAACGAGCTTTCGAACAAAAATCCCAGTTATCGAGAATCGAGATTCCTCGAGATATCTCAATTCTCATTCTATACTCACAATTCATTACAAGTTTATCGGCAAGAAAAAAATCCAAAAAAAAACAAAATTAGGTATACATATATATATAAATATTTAGTTTATTTTTCTTTTATGTAATTTTTTATAAATATTTCCACTTAAAAATAAATAAATATAAATTAATTTTTAATTAAGATTTTTAAAAAAATATTTAAAAAATGGCATCTTTTCTTCGTAAACTTTTTGGCCTTAGAAGAAAAAAATTAACAAAAAAAGATTCAATAACTGGAAGGAATAATTCTTTTGTATTTTTTAAATTAATTTAAATTTAATTTAATTTTTAATTTTTATTTAAAGCCTGTCCCATATTTGTCAAAATTGGAAGGGAATCAATTAGAAAGTGGACAATCTTTAATTGTTAGAGGAGTTATTATTTGTAAGAGAAAAAATAAATAAATAAAAATAAATTTAATTTTAAAGCAAATGAGGAATTTGTTATTAATTTAACTAGCGGGTCGAGGTAATTTTGAGAGAGAAGGATTTAAAGAAATATTTTTTGTAGAGTAATATTGGATGAAGAAACTCGTGTTTTGGATGATCGTTTACTTTGTATGAAAATAGAATTAAAAAAGAAAAGAATTCGTTTAAATGCTTGTATTAATGGGGAATGGGGAAGTGAAGGATTTGTTAAACATAAATGGAAAAATGGTAGGGGAAAGGGATAATTATTTTAATAAATTTTAACTGAAAATTAACAAGTCACAAAACTGTGTTTAATTAATTTTTAAAACAAAAAAATATTCAAAAATTATTTTTAATTACCGTAAATGCTCTAATTAAAGCCCTGGGCGTCTTTTTCAATGGGTCAATTTTGGTGGGCTTGTATTAGATATGGGCTTCTAATAGAGCCGGACATTAATTAGAGCATTTACGGTATTCTCTCTCAATTTTTGTAAAGTTAAAAATTAATTTAATTAAAATTCCTAGGAGATGAATTTGACATTAGAATAAGATGTCATGAAGATGAATTTGAGGTTTTCTTTTAATTCAAAAATAATTTTAAAAAACTTTTTAAAGGTATTTGTTGATCACAAATTGTGTGCTCGTTTTGGGCATTATGTCCCTTTAACAAATATTTCCCATTTATATGTTGATGGCTGTGTTGAATTATATTCTGTAAATTTTTTAAAGAAAAAAAAATATTTTTTTAATTTAAAAATTAAAAAGGTATCTTGGGAAGGGAGAGAATATATAGTTCCCTATGCTGCTGATATACCTGGAAATTTCTATCCTGGAAGGCGTTTATATATTTCTGGATTAATTAAAAAAAGAGCTAAACACTTTCAATTAATTTTATGTAAGCAAATTTAAAAGAAGAATTTTTTGAAAAAAAATATTTGTTTTTAGTTTCTGGTGTTAATAAAGCATTTAGAATGACTACAAAATTTGGATTTTCTAAGGTAATAATAATTTTTTTCTTTATTGAACACAAATAAATAAAATTTGAGACAATAAAATAAAGCTCCTAGATCTACAGGGATTACCTATGGAGAGGTAACAGACAAAAAAATCAAATACAATAAGATTTAAAAAATGTTAATTTAAGAAAGTAAATATGTCTTAGTAAATGAGGAACTGTTGGGGAGCCAGATATATCAGGGCGGATATACCTACGTCCACTGGGTCTTGGATATTACATTATCCTATTGATAAAAAGAGTTTTTATGTTTAAGAACCAACATAAATACTCACTTCAATCCCGATATATCTCCTCACCAATTGAGTGTTAATTAATTAAAAAACTGGAAAGTCTTTTTCAGAAAATAATTTACCTATTTATAATAATTTTAAGCTTTCTTCACGATTTTTAAATAAATAAAATAATAATTTTTTAAAAGAAAATGATTTGTGATACACAAACAACAACACAAACAACAGAAGAAGGAGGGGGAGAAGGAGAACAAAAAAACAACAAAAATTTATTAATTGGAGAATCCCCTCCAACAATATTTCAATTAGAAGAATTCCCTTTTAGAAGAAAAAAAGCTTTTGATTTATTAATTTATTGTGAAGATAAAAAATTTGTAATTTATATTGATGATTGTTTATTGGGAAAATATGAACATAGGTAGGTTAATTAATTTAGAAATTTTGAGGAAAGATTTTTTAAATAAAATATATTTCTCAATCTCCATATCTTTTTATTATAAGGCAATATTTTAATATACAGTGGCGGAAATTTACTTAGGGAAAGGGTAAACTCCATGTAACTCCGTTCATCTTTATCCGATCTGGCAGATCTAAATTTTAAAAAATAGCTTAATTCCTATCTCAGTTGACATGTTTCAGCGTTTTTCAAAATTCTGATAATTTCGAGAACTTTTCGACCGGTCTAACAGGTACTACATTTTCGACTTTTCGGAGAAATTTTTTTGAAGTCTGTAAATTTTATATGTGATTCTCCTAAAGATTCTGAATACAATGTTAAAAACCGCATCCAAATCGGTTGAAATTCTACAGAGTTATGAATTTTTGAAAATCGAAAAAACACCCATTTTTGTCATTTTTGTCGATTTTTTTGCAAAAAATGGGTGTTTTTTCGATTTTCAAAAATTCATAACTCTGTAGAATTTCGACCGATTTGGATGCGGTTTTTAACATTGTATTCAGAATCTTTAGGAGAATCACATATAAAATTTACAGACTTCAAAAAAATTTCTCCGAAAAGTCGAAAATGTAGTACCTGTTAGACCGGTCGAAAAGTTCTCGAAATTATCAGAATTTTGAAAAACGCTGAAACATGTCAACTGAGATAGGAATTAAGCTATTTTTTAAAATTTAGATCTGCCAGATCGGATAAAGATGAACGGAGTTACATGGAGTTTACCCTTTCCCTAAGTAAATTTCCGCCACTGTATACTTTTCTTCATATAAAAAAGTTTTGACTTTAAAATTTAAATAATAAAAATAAATACTTTATTCTGGATCTGATAAAAATATACTATTTAAAATAAAAATATGTTTTTATATATTTGGTAGGTCACTTTGTGAGGAAGTGTAAAAGATATCCTAAATAACTGATACACATACTAGTGATGTTCGGGAGAAGAAAAAACCCGGGAAACGGGAATCAGGATATCCGAACATCACTAATACGTACTCGATTTAAATAAATCTTTTTAGCCCCAAAATATTTATTAAAAGTGTTTAATTATTTTTAATTAATTTTTTCTAAATTTTAGAATAAATCCACAAACAATTGACCGACTTTCAATTGAAGGTGATATTGTACTACACGGAGTACATTTAAAATAAATTGTGATATGTATATTTATGTAGAAATTCCTTTACCCTTTTTTGTGTGCCTTTTTCTTTTAATTTCTGCCATTTTTTTCTTTAAATTTTTATTTAAATAAATAATAAATTTTTAATTTAAAAAAATTTTTAATTTAAATTTTCAATGTGAGTAACATTAACATTGAGTTTTGGGAGAACCCGCAAGCAAAACCTTCATTCCAAAATAAAGGTTATTGGATAGTTTACCCTCAACTATTACCCCTAAATTACTGTCTCTGATTAATCCGCCAATTTGTTTTTCGAATATTTATAGTCCTAAGTCTTTTCTATCGGCTTTTTCGATTAAACTTCTTACTCGGATAATAGAGCACCGTTTTGGGAGATCCTTATTCCAAAAAAGCGACCCAGAACTCGCTGGTCACCCACAACCTAGAACCCTTTTTTGGAATATCATCCAAGATTAAGCAATTTAAAAGAAAAAATAGAGAAAGCGCGAATAGAACATTTGAATTTCTAATTTTAATTATTTTAATTTAATTTGAATTTTATTTTTAATTTTTTAATCTAATTTTAATTTAAATTTCTAATTTAAATAAAATTCTAATTTCTAAAATTCTACAAAAAAAAACAAAAAAATAATTTCGAATACTTGGATAGGTAAAAATCAGAATTTTAGTTTAAATTTCCTAAATGTTATAAAATTTAAGAGACGCTTAATTTATAAAAAAAAAGTCGGTAGTTTAAAGGTATCCCCATTTCTCACAAAAATGAATAACCCTGTGCGGGAGCTTATAATAGTAGATTTATTTTGAATTTCAAATTATTTGACAAAAATTTTTATTTTATTAAAGAATTTAATTTTAATTTTAGAGTAATTTAATTTTTAAAATTTATTATATTAAAATTTTCTGCAAAATTTTTTTAATAAATTTTAAAAAATCAATTATTCTTAAAAAAAAATTTTTTTTTAAATTTTAGAAAAAAACTCGTGAGGGGAACTCGATAAAAAATTTTTATAGAGGGAGTAGAAAGACATAAATAAGAAAAGGAAGTAGAAAAAGGAAGTAGAAAGAGGAAGTAAAGAAGGAAGTAGAGAAGTAGAAAGAGGAAGTAAAATGTCGAAGAAAAGAATTTTTTATAAAGTCATGAGTGAATGGAGGAGGCGTCGACTTCTGAAAAAGTCTTTAAAATAGAGGGCAAATTAAGCTAAACTCATTCATTGGGCTAAACAACTCATTCTAAACTAACAATAAACTTATTCTAATAGGAGGGGATAGGGGGAGAGGGGTGGGTTATCATTTTTAAATTAATTTTCTTTTAAAAAATTTAAAATATAAAAATTTTTAATAAAAATTAATTACTATTTTTATTTAAAATAAAAGTTTTTATACAGGGAGAGTTTTTCGATAAATATATTTATTTTAGAAGTTATTTTAGAAGAAAGTATCCCTCCGCTATTTTTAATTTATTTTAAACAGAAAATTCTTTTTATAAATAAAAATTTAATTAATGGGAGGGGATAATAATATTTAAAAAATATTTTTTTAAGAATTAATTTTTAAAAACAAAAAGAAAATGCAAAATTTGAATTTATTAATTATTTTTATTAAATTCTCGTTTGTGGTTGGAATGCTTCCTGGACACCACCAAGGAGGAAGCTCTTCGGCACATTTAGTCTGTTACATATTTATTTAAATTAGAAAATAAAAAATTTTTTTTTAGAATTTTCCTCCTTCTTTACCTGATAACCCAATCGTTCATGCAATACGTCCTATAAAAAATTTGGATAAAAGGGTGTCAACACAATTAAAGGAAATTACAAAGAATGTTGATGCTGGTAATATTTTAATTTAAATTTTTAATAAAAAAATAGAAAATAATTTTTGAAAATTTTTGAATTTTTAGTTACAAAAACTACGATGCGGAAAAAATAGCATAATATTTTTTAGAAAACAATTATTGTTAATTAGGGACCAAACAAACATTTATATATTTATAGATGACAGTATCAAACTGGCATCTATACATATATTTAATTTTTAAAAATTAAAAAAATTTTTTTTTTATTTTGTAAGTCTCTAAAAGCAATCTTTCATTTCTTACTCCCTTTCTGTGAAAATTCACTCATTTTAAATAAACGCGGAATTTTACTTTTTAACAAAAAAATATATTTAGACTTATTAAATATTATCCAACCGCCTAGAGAAAATATTTCGAATTTCACAATTGACTATCAAAATAAAAAATATTTGGCGGCACGTGATCATTTAAATGAAAAATTAACCGAAATTCAACAAAATATCAATATTCTTGAAAATGAGCCAGTTGAACCTACCTTGGTAAAAATATTTTTGTTTTTGTGAAAATTTTAATTAGGGAAGAAAAAAAATAAGAAAATCCGACTTTGATTTTTAATTAAAATATTTTTTATAGACTTTATCTAGCGACTTGACAAATAATAAACATGAAAAAGATATATTAACTAAAATGGAGAATATAATAAAGGAAGCCCTTTGGGAAATTCATGATGTTGTCTCAAAATTTTTTCATTCAAAAGGTAGAAAGAAATTTTTGGAATAAAAATTTCTTTTATTTATTACCCCTAAATTTATATAAATATTTTATTCCTTTGGGTCTGTACCGAAAAAACGAGAAGGGTAGGCCGACAATGGGAAAAATTTTGGTTTCTAGTTTTGGTCACCCAAATACAGGTCTCGGGCAAGGTGGAAGAGGGGCATGCATTATTTTGTTAATTTTTGGGTTTCCCATTGCTACCAGAGTGCCCACCCCACAATCGAAATTTTGATTTAATAAAAAAATATATATTTTATTTTAATAAAGGAATACCTTTTCAATGAAGAATAATTTTTATTCAAAATTTGAAGGAAGAAGTTTAAATTTTATTCAAAAAAAGAGAGAAAACTTTTAAAAATTTTGGGATTTAAAAATTTTTTTTTGTATTTTTATTTATTTTAAAACAAAACTTTTAAGTATTTTTATTATTTTTGGGTTTTAAAGGGGGAAGGGGGATGTTTTGACCGTACTTTTTATTTTTTGGATTGGGTTGTCTCTCGATGGTGTTTTTATTTTTAATTTAAAAGGTGTTTTTTCTGATCATAAATATCCAATCCATCCAAACGGCAAAACATCCCCAAGTTTTTTTAAATTTATTTACATATTTTCAATTATTTATTAAAGTATTCATGATTGATTATTAACACTTTTACCCTCAGTTTTAGACTAATCCGATTTTAAAATTTGATTTTTTGGGTTTTTAATTACAGCTTTAGAAAGGAATTTTATCAAAAATTAATTATTTTAGAAATATAATTTTAAAAAATGTTTCTAGGCTGTAATCTCTAAATATATTTTTTGAGAATTTTCCTTTCCAAACTTTTATTATTTTTAAATATTCTTTTAATTTTTTTATGGATAAAAATTTTTTCAAGATTTATGTGTTATCTTGTATAGCTTTAAGAATTAAATAGCTACATATGTATATGCTTTAAATTATTATTTAAATATTCCTTTTCGTGTCTACGCAGAAAACCCAGAGACAGAAGGTGCGGATAATCAGCTAGTTATCTGGTCGACTTTTTTCGAATAAGCGGTAACCCCCCCCCCCCCCCCCCCCCAAAAAACACTGAGAAGAAAGCTCGAATAAGAGAACCTGGTGAATTTACCAGATACCCTTACTTTGTTTTTAGAATACCGCCTATTTCTAGTATATCCCCTTAGGCCATTTTAGACTGATTATCCACAGTTAAACTATAATAATCAGAATTTTATTTCCTTGTAGTTATAAAATTAAGAGACGCTTAATCAGAAAATTCGGTAGTCTCTCAAAAATGGTTACCTAATCTTACGCGGGAGCTTACAGTAAATTTATTTTGAAAGAAAAAATTCCGAATAAACTTTCAAATTATTTGGCAATAATTTTTATTTTATTAGAAAAAATTTTTTAGAGTTCAAAGTAAATCCACAAACAATTTACAGACTTCTACATGGAGTATATTTAAAATAAAATAAAATTACTTTTATTTTTCATAAAAATTTTTTTATTCTTTTTTCTTTTTATAAGTTTGGCTATTTTTATTTAAATTTTATATTTAAATAAATAAATACATATTTTTAATTTTAATTAAGTTAATTTATTTTATTTATTTTATTAATTTTTTTTTAATTAGAAAATCAATTTTTTTTTAATTTTTAATTCTTTAAAAATTTTTTTTAATCTCGTGAGAGTTAAAAAGAGTGAAGGCGGTGAAATTCTTAAGAAAATCAAATTTTTATTTAATTTTTAATTCTTTAAAAAAATCTCGAGCCATACCAGCATGCCACTCTCTTCTCTTTAAATATTTTTTTGAAAATTTTATTTCCCAAACAAAGTTCTGTCTACAAAAATTTTTAATTTTCTTTAAATATTTTTTTTAATTTTAATAGATAAAAATTCTTTTCAATGTTAAAGTTATTTTTAAAAATTATTTATATTTAAATTTTATATTTATGTATGTAAATAAATGTTTTTAATTTTTAAAATTTATTTTTGTTTTATTAAATAAATTTTTGAAAATCAATTATTTCTTTATAGATTTTTGATTTCTTATAGATTTTTTACAAAATCTCGTGATAAGAAGAATAATGAGGGCTTAGACAGCATTTAGAAAGTCTAATAGAGAGAGGGAGAGGGAGAGTGTAGTTACTCATTAGCTAAACATATTTATTTTTTATAAGGCATACAAAAATATAAAAATAAATTTTTGGCCAAATACTTAAGCCCTAAATAAGTTTTATAAGCTCTAACATGGTAATAAAAAGCATTATTATCTGTCACAGAGACCGGCCTTATTATCTTAAAACATGAAGGAAAAACGATTTTGTTTCCCTTTGAATGTTGTTTTAGTCGGAAGATTCTTTTAAATTAAGCATTTAATTATTGAAATGAGGGGAGGGGAGAGGGGATTTTTCTAAAATAAATATTTTTTATTAAATAAAATTAATTAATTAATTAATTTTTAAAAAATAAAAAAAATGCAAAATTTAAATTTATTAATTATTTTTATTAAATTTTTGTTTGTGTTTGGAATGTATCGTGGGCATGGAGGAGGAAGCTCTTCGGCACGTTCAGTCTGTTTATTTATTTAAATTATTAAAAAATAAATTTCTTAAGCAAAAATCTCCTCCTCCTCCTTCACCTGATCATCAAATCGTTGCTTCAAAAAAAGTAGATGACATAGTAAAAGAACAATTAATGAAAATTGTGAATACAAACAACAATACAGATTTCCGTAATATTTTTAATTTTTCAATGAAAAATAATTTGTAATTTTTTGACGGTTATACACTAACCTAAACATTTAATTTAGAAAAATAATTTTTGTTGTTAAAAACTAGGGTTGTTGGCGACCGGTTTTAAAACCGGAATTTTTGAAATTTTTTGCCAAAAATTAACCGTTTTTAGAAAATTTAAAAAACCGAAAATCGGAAATTTTTGAAAATGAGTGATTTTATTAAAAATTCTCACAAAATAAAACCGGTATTTGCCTAAAACACAAAACCAAAAATCGGATTTCTAAAATTTAGATTAACCGAAAACCGGAGGACCGGTATTACCGGTCGCCAACTACTTTTTAAATGTACTAACACACAATTATAGCTAAAAATATATTTATAGATTTATTAAATATTATCAAACCACCCTTCGAGGGATATACAGCAAATTACCCAATTGTAGAACAAAATAATAAATATTCGGAGGCACATAAATATTTAAATGATAAATTAAACAAAATTCAAGTCAAAATCGAAAATTATAAAAATAAGCCTGTTGTGATTGATTTGGTAAAAATATTTTTGTTTTTGTGTTAAATATGGCGAAAATAATGGAAAAAAGAAAAAATTATTTAAAAAAATATAAATATCCTCCTTGCTAAATCTTTAATTAAAACAATTTAGGGATAATTAAATCCCTAACCAATTTTTAATAAAAATATTTTTATAGGCTTTATCTAACGATTTAACAAAATATAAACATAAAGAAGAAAAAATAATTAAGTTGATTGATATAATTAATGAAGCACTTTTCAATATTTCTTCTCTTGTCCAATTAGCAATGGAGGTTAGTGGGGGAGGAGGAAGTAGTTTAGACTGAAATAAGGTGTGCCGAGCAGTGATGCTAAAGTTCCAAAATTTCTCTGGAACCGGTTCCAGTTCTGGAACTGTTTTTTGGATTTCTTCAGTTCCAGTTCTGGAACTTTTGCATCACTGGTGCCGAGAGAATTTTTAAGAATTAAGTTGCTTTTTTTGAAATTGTTAATATCCACGCCTGCACTTAATTGAAACTTTTGGATAAATAAAATAAAATTATTTTTAATTAATTTTAAGGAAGAAGGAAAAAATTTGTGAATGAAAAACAATTCAAAATTTGAAAAAAGAAGAGAATATTTTAAAAAGAGAAACAGACCTAGTAAAAATTTTATAGTTATTTTAGTTTTGAAGTTAAAGTTTAAAGAATTCTTTTAAGTTTAAAAAAAACTTGTAGGTATAAATTAAAAATGATATTTTTATTGTTTTTCTAAGAGCGGAAAGGGGAGGAAAGGGGGGGGGGGATATTTTATAAATTTTAAATTGGGTTAATTTTAGATAGTGTTAGTTATTTTAAACAAAATTTTTCAATCAGAAATATCTATCCAATTTGACATCCCTTCCAAACAATCCACCTAACCCCCAACTCGTTTCAAAACAAAATATAAAACAACCCCAATTTATTATACATATAACTTCTTTTTATTTTTTTCAATTATTTATTTCAGTATTTTGAATTTTTAGTTAAAGGTTTTGGAAGGAATTTTATATTTTTTGGAGGGATTTAATGACTTCTAAAAAACATTTTTAAATTAAAAATAAATTTTATTTTAATTATTATTAAGCGCTGATTTTATATTTTCTTTCGCTAAAATTAAAAAAAAATTTTAATTCTAAAACAAACAAAAAATATATTTTTTCCTATTATTTTATTAAACATTTAAAAAAAAGAATTGATTTATACTTAAAGTTCTCCTCCTCCTCTCTTCTCAATATTTATTTTTTTAAAACTGCTGTTTTTTGGAGAGGAAAGAATTTTTTATATAATTTTTATTAGTCATCCACAACTAAATATATATTCTCAAAAATTCCAGTTTATTTTCTTATAATTTCCAAACTAGCGAGAGCTCAAAATTGACATCGTCGATACTTAAATTCCTGAAAATTTCTTCAAATTTCTTTAACGTCCAAAATTTTTTTTAATTTTCATTGAATATTTTTTAAGTTCGATAACAATAACCCTAATTTTAATAATTAGTTTCTTATATTCTAGTTAAATTTAGTATTTTTGTTAAAAATTTCAAGCAAATTTATTAACTAAACAAAATATCGTTTCTAAAAATTACCCCAATAAATAATTTTTTTCTTTTTCCGTTTTTTTTTCACAAAATCCCTCCTTTTTTCTTTATTTCCAAAAAAATTGTTTATTGACAAAAACTAAAATAAAAGAAAATACTACTTACTTTTAGCATGTTTAGCTCAAAAAATAAATTTAACAAAAAAGCCGTTGGATTTCGTAAATAAATGTTATGTAGGGTTAAAAAAGATATAAAATTGTAATAGTGTATTTATTTATTTATATCTATTTTCCTGTTTATTCCAAATTAGAGACCGGACTGGGGGAGTGTCGTACGAGATCCGAGATCTCCTCTCAGTCCGGCCTCTACTCCAAATATCATTCCATTATTTCCCCTCACATATAGGGACAGAGTATGTTTTTATTCCTTCCAAATATATTCTTGAGGTGCTACAAAAGTTTGAGTTGGCTGTATATTTAATAGAATATGGAATAATTTTGGGAAATTTTTGGCCAGAATATAAGCAAAATATTTATGGGGCAAAATAAGTCCATTATTTAAATTCCAATAATTTCCAATATTTTTATATAAAAATTATTATCGTCTAACAAATAAAATCGTTTAATTTATTGATTTTAACTAATTATTTATATCGAGAAAAGCACACAAAACAACATTTGTCAACATTTATTTATTTAAAAGCAACACTCTTCAATGCTAAATAATTTTCATTATTTAAAAAATCAAAATAAATAAATCTTTTAATTTTTATTAGTTAATCTTAATTAATTTACACTTTTAAATTTATTTTTAATTTTTTCATTATTTAAAATTTAAATTCGAGATTTAAGTCCAAAAATCAAAATTTAATTTTTATTTAAAAGAGCAAACATACAAAAATCTAAAAATTAAATTGTTGTACTTTTTATTTGTTTAGCGAATACTTTTTAAGTATTTACTTGGTACAAAAATAAATTTACTAATAATTTTTGATTTATGTAAAATTAGCCATTTTTGGCATTATTTTATCAAAATATATTTAAATGACAAAAAATCCCAAAAACTTTCATTTTGTCAAAATCCATAATCTACATCTAACTATTTCTTCTTTTCTTTATTTCCATAACTTCTCTTTTAATTGTTTGTGGTCTATAACAAATCCGACGTGTCCGCTCAACTCATCTAATCCTTAACTCATCCACACGCCCAAAAACGCTCAACTCATCTAAACGGCTAAAATTCCTTAACTCATCCACACGGCTAAAAACGCTCAACTCATCCAATCCTCAACTCATCTAATGCTTAACTCATCCACACGCCCAAAAACGCTCAACTCATCCAATCCTCAACTCATCTAATGCTTAACTCATCTACACGGCCAAAAACGCTCAACTCATCCAATCCTTTGGAACGAGACTATTGAGTACCAGTCGTTTGAGTCCATGACCAGTTGAGTCTCTGGCCGTCTGAGTCCATGACAAGTTGAGTCCCTGGCCGTTTGAGTCCATGACCAGTTGAGTCTCTAGCCGGTTAAGTCCCTGGTCAGTTGAGTCCCGGCCGTTTGAGTGGTTGATTACCGCCGGTTGAGTCTTGGGCCGGTTGAGACTCAACTGACCAGGGACTCACCCGGCTAGGGACTCAACCGGCCGATATTTCAAGGATTGGATGAGTTGAGCGTTTTTGGGGGTGTGGATGAGTTAAGCATTAGATGAGTTGAGGATTGGATGAGTTGAGCGTTTTTGGGCGTGTGGATGAGTTAAGCATTAGATGAGTTGAGGATTGGATGAGTTGAGCGTTTTTGGCCGTGTGGATGAGTTAAGTGTTAGATGAGTTAAGGATTGGATGAGTTGTAGGGTAGCCAAATCCGATTTTACCAACCCGTTTTATGTCAATTTTTATCGTCGTTTTTTCTCAAAAATTGCAAAAGTACATTAATTTTTCTTTTCATTTTTGTTGGTTCTTGATGCGCGTTTATTTTCTGGTCTTTTTTTTGTTAGTGTACATAGTATTTTTTCGTTTATTTGCTTATAGCATTCATCCAATGCTTACCGGCTGTGAGCGCTGACACTTTTATTTATTGACCGAACCTTCATTGGTGTGGTCTGTGACTGCACATACAAAAAATGCGATAAAAAATGTAAAATAATTGAAAGGGAGGGAGGGGAGGGAGGAAGGGGGTATTCATTAAATGCGCGAATTTTTCTTCTATTTATTTTACATTTATCGTTATCTATTTTGACAATTTTTTAATTTTTTATTTGAATTTTTCTTTTAATTTTTAATTATCATTAATTTACATATTTCAAAATTTTTGAATAAAATTGAATTTTTCTAATAATTTTTTAGAGAATCTTTTTTACTTGGCACAATGTCTATTATTCTCGATCCTTACATTTCTCCTAAAGAAAAGAATCGATTGAGTGGATTTAATGAAGAAGAAAATGAAAATTTAGTTTCCCTTCAAGGTTTTGATAATTAAAAATAATTTTTAAAAAACTTTTTTTGTATAGAAAATGAAAAAGAAGTCGACCAAAAAATTTCTTCTACTGATAGTGTTACTACTTCAACTATTTCACCAATTACAAATTTAAAAATTATTGAAAATAAAAAGGAAAATATTTTAAATTTAAATGAAGTTACTAATAAAGAAGAATCTTCTCGTCGAAAAGAAAAGAAAGGAACAACAACAACCTCTTCCTCTTCTTCATCTTCTCGTGAATCTAGTAGCAGTACTCGACATACTGAATCAAAAAGAAAACCTGAAGATGGGAAAAAGAAGGAAGGAAAAAGTTTAGGTATTTTTTTAAAATTTAAATTGGGGAAAGGGCAACCGTAAATGAATGAACTTTGTCTAAAGAGATTCTATATTTAAATGTATTTTCCTTTTTCTAATTCCTTTTAGTTTTAATTGTTTGCACTTTCTAACATAAATTTGTGTTCCCCCCTGTTTTTTATTTTTTGGGAATTATTCATTCCTTATTTGCGTTTTTTATTATCCGATGATCGTATAACTAACATTTATTTTTTGGTTAATTAAAAAACATATTCTACACAGTCAATTGTTTCTGATTATTATAAAAACTTTTTTGTTCGTCAGTGACATCTCTCTTCATTGGCAGTTTTATTTATATTTTTTATCTATTTTTTGTTATTTGTATACTAAAAATACTTATCAAACCCTACAACGAATATGACGATCTCTCTTCCTTCCTTTTGCCAATACTTATTTTTAAAAATATTCTCAATTTTAATAATTCCTCCATTAGGCTTCAGCACACGTCTTTCCACAATGTGGGAGGATATGAAAAGAATGATGGGATTTTCACCTGATTGTTTAAATGGTATGGAAAATTATTTTTTTATAATTTTTTTAAATTTTAGGTGGCTATAGAGGAATTGGAAGTTTAAGCTGTACTTGTCCACAATATTTTGAGGGACAGTTGTGTGAACAAATTGGTTGGTTTTTTTAATTTTACACGGAGGGGT